CAGTAAAACTACTAAAACTTCCAGAAATTCGATAAACAACCAATCATCAATAGAAATACCCGAAAATCCAATAGTACTACATTCAATCAATATGGACATAATAAGAAATCTACAATAAGAACTTACCTTGCATTACTCACCACTATACTAATCATTATTTTTCTTTATATAAAATGGTACACGAAGAAAACAACCCCCTAAGTTTCAGAAAGTAACCACGAAAACATAAAGCTCCCATTTATGTTTTCTCTTAAGGTGGGAGGAGTTATGAAAGCATCCTAAACCAGTAAATTGTATAGTCTGCAGATCTCAGAGTATTGTGTCATTTCTTGGAAAGCTGATGTTAAATAAAATAAAGTTATAAAAATATGTAAAACACAAAAACATTCCGATTCTTGCTTCTGTATAATAAATATTATCTTATTTTTTAAATTGAAAATAAAGTTTTTAAAAACAGGCTTTTTAATTTGTATGCTATACCTATATTTTTCACAAAACCAAAAATAGGTAGCTAATAAAATATGCAATACGAAAGGTATGCAAAAGTAAGATAATTACGCAAAATAAATTTACAAAAAATTAAGGAAAAATAGCAGATAGGTACGGCCAAAGATAATACACCCCATAGATTGGAAACTCTCCTACCACTGCCCTCTAGAGCTACAATACCTCAACTATATCTATTTGTAAATTGCTGACATTTGTACAAACGCTATTTGCAAATGTCAATGTCAATCATAATTATTGATGCCGATCATAATTTTTGAATTATTAAATACATTTTTGCGCCTTAAAAGTGATAAAACGTGTTAATGGTTGTAAAATGTATTGTTGTTGGGCGCGGAAATGTAACCAATTTGTAAGTATTAACTATCCTGCCGTCCTATGCCAAAAAGACTCATCTCGTTATTATTATATTATTCTCTTAGAAAAAAGACGAATTTTAACTATACATACATTTTTAAGTACTATAGCTCCTAAAAATGTCTAATTAAATTGAACGTATCTTAGAAAAAAACAATAAAGCGCTATAATTTATAAAGTAAAAATGTGGAGTTGCGTCTTTTTGGCTAAGCACGGCAGTATCGCTCTAGCGTAAAAATACTGTTTGTTAAATATGAATTATAATTAATTATTTAGGATTGCTTGTTTAATGGTAATTTAGTCCACGCCAAGCCCAGGCTACTTATGGTTGTTTCAAAACCAATAGTTGGCAAGATGGATTTTTCACGGTTGGTTAGAACTTGCCAAAAGTCCACACTCAAACGCCTTGTACAAATTCCTATATGTATATGTATAAGTAGCCTGGACTAAATTACCAAAGTTTGCAATATTCTCTTATTATTAAAGAATTATTATTTTTTAGGTTTGCACTCCACAAACAAAAACATATTCATGTATACCGATTATGTATTTCATATGTACATATAGATGTATGTATTTTATTTTATATTATATTATTAATAGGTACATTAAATAAATCTTATATTCATACTTGTTTTATTTAAAATACAGCAGTAAATACAATATACAGGGATGGTAATGTGCTCTTAGGCCGTTTATTAAATAAAGACAAATGCATTATGAGACGTGGGAGTGGTGGAGTGACGTAAGAGTAGTGGGGCAAGCCAGAGTCTGGCAGCCAGACCGCGCCGCAGACGCAGACAAGAGAATGTGTTGTAACTTACAACTTGTAAGTAAGAGGTAGTACGTTTGTTATAAATTAGGAAATATTCTCTAATAAAAATGGTTTACACCCTTGAAGAAAAGATTCAATTTATAACGTGGCATTTAAATGGGATCTCAGATCGAGAAATTCAAAGATTATTTCCAAATATGTTCCCAAATAGACCCTTACCAGCAAGGGCAACAATTCAAAATGTTGTAAATAATTTGAACATTTACTTTGATTTATTTATTTAAATATTTTAGAACACCATTTTTGTTTGAACATTCACTTTATTTATTTTTTTATTTAAATATTTTAGAATACCATTTTTGTTTAAACATTTACTTTAATTTATTTATTTAAACATTTTAGAACATTTGCTTTAAATTATTTTTTCTTTACGTTTTTTAGAATACTTTTTTATTTGAGAATATTTGTTTTTTTATTACAAGAATATTATTGTTTATTTTCCACATTTCCTAAGAAATATTTGCAAGGAATTTTTGTTTCTGTAAACAAAATCATAATAAAATATTTACGTTGTTTTATAACAACCGACTACACCCTACCTCAGTCGTAATGAAACTGACACTAAATAGTGGCAAATCTCGAGACTCGAACATGTCGAGTGGGCGGGACCCGCCCGGCGGGTAACGCAGATAGTTAAAGAAGGGGAAGCAAAACATTGGCGTGTAATAGACCGTTTTGATTTAATTGTTTTAAAAATTTCTACTGCACGCTCATGACGGAGGGGAATCACGTTTGTTAACCAGTCGATGGTTGTTAATCTCACTCTTTCGTACGTATTATATTGCATGCATCTTTGTCACAATTTGGCCTAAATGTGCATTATTACCACTGTATAAAGGCACCCTACGAAGCATCAACATTCAAATATTTATATATATATATATATGTACATGTAAGTATGTAAGTATATTTCTGTAACATATTATGTTACAGAAATATACTTCAATTTTTGGCATAGCTAATGGTATTGTAGACCTAGAGGGCGTTAATTTACTTTAGCCTTTTGCCGCTAGCGCTAGTGCAGTTTCCAATCTATGGGGTGTATTATCTTTGGGTACGCCCACCAGTAGGCGAAGTAAAATTTACAAAAATAATATATATACACTCACGTGCAAAATAATCGATCCCCACAAATTTTCGATGAATTTCAATCGCAAACAACTTTTTTATTTGATGTCGGATTTAAACGAATATTCAAGAATATTGTAGATAAATTAAAGGACAATCGCTCACATTTTAAAAAATTACTAAAAAATAGACGTACGTTTATAATATACAGGTTTAAACAAAAAGATGTTTTTTACCATAAGTTTAAGACACTCTGTAGAGTGGCAAAACCGTATATTGTTCTAAATTAAGTTTTATTTATCAAGTCACATCTTTGTTTTTGGTTCACCTCGATATATTTATTTTTGTGGAAAATATGGATTTTTTAAAAAACATTGCAATTTCCAATATTTTTCTGTATGAAGAACTAAGGTTGCTATGGTCCATCCATAGGCTATGGAGAATGACAGTGACAGTTTTGTTGAATCATCCCATACTTGGACATGTCATATACAGCTTTCAAAAGGTATCAAATTGTTTTTTGCAAATTAATGTTTAAATTTTGAGGTATCTTCTTACTTTATAAAATGGATATGTCTCCGACTGATGTTGCCAGAGCTATTAATTTAATCCAGGATGGACGGTCACAGTATTACGTGGCAAGTGTTTTAAACGTCATAAGAAGTAAAGTACAAAGGGCAACATCAGTCGGAGACATTTTTAAAAGTAAGAAGACACCTCAAAATTAACACACTAATTTACAAAAAACAATTTGATAGCTTTTGAAAGCTGTATATGACATGTCCAAGTATGGGATGATTCAACAAAACTGTCACTGTCATTCTTCATGGGCTATAGATGGACCATAGCAACCTTAGCTCTTCATACAGGAAAAATATTGGAAATTGCAATGTTTTTTAAAAAAATCCATATTTTTCACAAAAATAAATATATCGAGGTGAACCAAAAACAAAACTGTTAAGAATAGATGTGACTTGATAAATAAAACTTAATTTAGAACAATATACGGTTTTGCCATTCTACAGAGTGTCTTAAACTTATGGTAAAAAACATTTTTTTGTTTAAACCTGTATATTATAAACGTACGTCTATTTTTTAGTATTTTTTTAAAATGTGAGCGATTGTCCATTAATTTATCTACAATATTCTTTAATATTCGTTTAAATCCGACATCAAATAAAAAAGTTATTTCCGATTGAAATTCATCGAAAATTTGTGTGGATCGATTATTTTGCACGTGAGTGTATATTTTTTATCGTATAAAATCTTTCGGGGTTGATTGAGGAATACGCTTTAGTTTATTTACCGCGATTTGACCATGCATTTAGCTATGCACCTCATTTTTTGTACTATAAAGAAAAGCTTAATTAAAAATGTGGGGTAAAAAACACCCTGTATTTCGTAGTAAATTGCGGATTACTTTGATAACAGCAATAGTTAATTTTTTACATTAATAAATTGTGCCAGGAACTATAGTGACTAATCTTCTACACAAAATATATGATATAGAATAGTATTTTGACTGGATTACTGTCCTGCGCATAAATGGTTAGTTTTTTTCTCCGTGTAGATCAAATATGCAGTGTCTATGGTGCAGTAAAAAGGACTTACTTATTTATAACATTTTTTGTTCTATATTTATATCCTATATAAATATATATTCTATATCCATATCTATCCACATACTTCACTTTGACCTCTTGGATCTGGGTACTACGCACATGTGCAATTGCAATTAAAAATAATAATAAATGACTTTAAAAGTAAAATACTATAAAATTTGGGGTGTCAATATTGAAACGTTTTGACCATTTATATGTAAATGTGCAGATTACCCCCTTCATTTAAAAGCTCATAAACCCATAAAAAATGATTCGATAGTTTTATATTTGCCTTAAAAAAATAATTTTATCTATAATTTAATTATTTAAACTTTACTTAAACAAAATTTATTTTATGCATTTATGTCCGTTCAGGCTAAGTTGGGCGCTTTGGTGGGGGATCATGTGGCCGTTGATTAAATTAAATATAGAATCGTCGCAAAATTTAGGTAACAAGATGATTTATCAGTGCCGCGGCTTGCTGTTTGTTCGTACAGAGCGGTTACGGAAATACATTGTGCCTGAACATAGAGATGATGGACGGGGTGACATTCCATAGACCGCTCAACTTAGCCTGAACGGACAGTATGTTTAAATGTGATTATCATATAATATTTATCTTTATATTTTAGATGGTTTAATCAAAATGAAGAATCAAAAAAGTATGTTTTATCATTTGATAAAACTTCTAAATTTATATCCGCTACCAATGGAATAAGGGTTGTGGAAATAAGAAATTTGATAAATGAGATGGTTCTAATTGATTGGACCTTTGAAGGAAAAATACTTAAAATTTATTTTCAATTACCAGATGAATATAGTAAATATTATAATTTAGATCACCTTTTGGTAGTAGAGGATTCAAGTGGAAACATTCTAAAGAATATTTTATAAATTCTATCAAATAAAATGCAAAGCTTTTTTAAATCGAATGTCTAATATATTTTCATATAGTTACCTACATCATAGTTTTTAGCAAATATTATTCAGCGGGCGGCCGTCGCGACTGCAGTATGTTTATCTCTTTTAGATAGGTCATTTTTCCTGAGCCAGGATAAAATAAAAAAACAAGTCAAATGTTACGAGATTTGGCTATAGATTCTGTATCACCCAGCCAGCACAAGTCGGTCTTAAGGACATTCTAAGAAAAGCCTTACAGGATATTGGGATATCCCAAGGATATCTTTGGACCTCCTCAGGACATTCCAAACAAATTAAGCCAAGTGGTGCAAAAAAGGCTGGCCTACGGACGTCCTGTTAATGGCCTTTATGTCCAGAAATTACTAAAAATGTGTCCTCTAAACGTCCCACGGGTTATTCTTGTTCTTTGGATATGTAGGTACTGAAGAAATTCTATGCACTTAAACATACTCGATTAACTAGCTATTATTCGTTACTAAGTAGATCAGCCCCACTCTAATCATTGTTCAAATCACAATATATATTTAACTATTAGTAGGTACAGTGTATAAAAGAAGGATGTATATATATAGCCGCAATGTGGTGATGGGGTGGCTGTCTTTAGCCGTCCTGTGGAGAAGATGCATGGTACGGTAGCAGCGCAGTCTCCCAACGGTCTCGTATGGCCAGCTTGATTCGGGTATCAGAATAAAGTCTTGAAAGTTGAAAGTAGAAGAAATGTTGAATAAAATGAAGTAATTTTGGGGAAAAAAGAAAATCAAAAAAACCCCTTAAGGAATTTGGAAAAGTAGTTAACAAAAAAGAGAAAGGGTGAAGAATAAGACCTGTAACACAATCGGTTTATTAATACGGTTGGACTTGAAGGGCATGTTAAAAGTTTGGTTGGGGATAATCCAAGGGGTCAAAGATCCGAAAGGGCTGCCTCTATCAGCGGATTTCCAGCAAACAGAGCTGTAACCTACTCGTGTTATTCACGTCGCATTTTGGTTGTTATTTAACGAGTTGAAAGTAACGGGATATTGACGTGAAATAAACGTTTTGAAAAAACGAATAGAAATTAAATTTCTATATATATATTTTTAAATAATTTATAAATATAAAAAAAACTTCCCCTACAGTTCTGGTTACCAAAATCAACTAGGTACTTATATCAAGAATTCTGAGGAGTTTTAAAAATACGTTTGATACACGTAAAATTTAGACAAAATATGTACCTAAATATAGACATACGTAAAGGCTTTATTTTTAAATCTTTAGCCGGGTTATTTTTTGTATGGTTTATTAAATATTGATTAGTTGTATAGTATAATAAAATATGATTGTGCTGGTGTATATGTTAAAAAGACACTGACACATTCAATAAGAAAACATATATAATATATTATATAATTAATAAACTTACTATATGGGCGCGGCCAAATCTGTATGGGTGCACGTCATCAATGCGGTGTAATTACGTTACCATTACCAACTTTTAATTAAAAGTTACTGCCGTTAAAATTGCTTTTTTAAGGAGTAGTTCTAATGTATTATAATTTTTTTTATTTATTTGGGTTTTATTTACAATGAACTGTAACAAATTAAGGCCTGCAGGCGCGCACCGTTAAATATTATTGATGGGTCAGCGTTGTTTTGTCATTTTGACGTTTTGTGCGTGAGTTGGGCCGAGTTCTGAAAAACATTGGCTTCCGTTTCAAGAGGAACGACACACGGCGTAGACTGATGGAGCTGCCCTGGATAGCGCTACTATAGTAGCGCTATCCAGGGACCGTATACGGACCAAATTCCTCAAGTCATACATAACCAGCCGGCCCTCTGCAGTTTCTATTTCCTGACGATTTTGAGAACGGAACGAACACCACGTTCTCCCGGCAGGATCTCAGCCACAAAAGTGTTCGCCGATTAAAGGTCGATGGACCACGGTAAGAACATGAACATGCAGTCAACCTAACCATAATTACTTGAAGGCATATCGTTCTGCATGCCGGCAGCCGAGGCGGGTTCAACGAAGGGTCGAAGCTCATATTCGCCTGAAAATCCAAAACCGGGGATTATCATGGTGACATGAACGAGGCGAATTTTCTGAAGTGGTTCGAGTACCAACTTCTACAGCTGCTAAGAGAACCATCTATCATTGTGATGGATAACGCCAGCTACCACTTGACCCTGGTGTCGAAAAACACGAGCAGTATTTGGCGAAAGGCTGAATTACAGCAGTGGCTAACTGAAAGGGAAATCCAGTTTGAATCCACATTATAATCCAACTGTTATAACTCATCAATAGGTTTTCAACGGTCAAGGTGCTAGTAAAAAGGGCCTTATTTAATTGATTTGATCATAATTACAGCCACAAGCCACCCAGAGCTGGCCAAGTACTGAGTACTTTTACTCGTATTTCAATTACGAGTAAAAAAGTACGAGTACTCATAAGTATTTTTCATTTGAAATACTTATTACTCGTACTTACAATCCAAATTCAATGTACTTGTAAAAAATACTCGTGGAAGGCACGTTTATTATATTGATGACTTTTTGCGAAAATATCGTAAGCTTCGAAACATTTTGTTTGGAAGTCTATTATATTATACTATATAACATAATTTAAAAACAGACTTAACAAGACATATTAACATAATGTCACTATAGTTATTTATTTTCAATAAACATTTTGTTATTCTAAGGCTTCTTGATTTGTAAAAAAATATTTGATGATAACGTTTCAAATGCGAATATTTCAGATGGTTGAAATATTAGGTATATGGTATGTTTTATGATTTATGCTTAGAATTTTACAAGGAATCATTGAGAAAAAATAATCTTTTTGTTTTTTCCTGCATACTGATCGATTTTTTAATTTTTTTAATAAGTGGAAAAAAAGTATTTTTTAGTACCTACATAAATTTTTTCGGGACACTTAAAATAAAAAAGTTAATGTATAAAATAAATAATTTTATAAATTTGTATTTGTATTTTGATAGCTCAGGACCAAAGTATGTAGATATAATGTATAAAGAATAATTATATTAACTAACATTTTTTTTACAAATGTACTTACGAGTAAAGTACTTACGAGTAAATATTTGAAGTTCTCGTATTTAAAATTTTACGAATACTTTTTTAAGTATTCGTGCCCAGCTCTGAAGCCACGAATGTTTTTTAGGTCGATCAGCTGGCGAACCACTACGGGCACCAGCCTGGTGCCACCAGGTACTGCGGCTCCCGCCTTACCATTGAGTCATTCCAAATAAAAACACCAAATGGGGTACGCTGCGTGATTTTTTATTTTGATGAAAAAATTTGAGGATGATCTTTTAGGTGTCAAATATGAAAATCCGTTGCCGTTTTAATTTTTTGTTGCTTTACTTTTATTTGGCAACCCTTAGAAGTCTGAAATAGTGTCAATTTCTTACTCTCTTATAGTGGGCCAGAACTTTTTTCTGTGACAAATATTGAAATAATTTTAATTTTGTTTTACTGTCCAGTAAGTGTGTTTTCGATATAAATTATTATTATCCAATTAGTTCATCTCATAAAAGAATGGTAAACCACTAAAGATTCATGATAATTTGCCAATTTTTGTGATTTTTGTCTGGCTCCTGTGCCTATTCTACTGAATTTAGAAGGTTCATTTTTTTCAGGTATAAAGTACTTATACAATAGAAAACGTAACCATTAAGTTTCTAGACTATCAATTTCTTTATTAAAAAAAATATTGAAAATTGATAATTCTTAAAATTAGCCAATTTTGCCCTCAGAAATCATTATGTTGAGGAAAAAATAAAAATCCGAAACTTTCAGAAAATGTAGTCCCCACCTTCATCTTTTCAGTCCAGTTAGTCTTGTTTTGTTATTTTTATTCCTTTAAAAGATATATTAACTTTTTTAATGGCCGTTTAGTAGCGATATTGTTAGTTTTATTTAAAATTTAGATGGCTTTCATGTTTGGTGGAGAAGTGTCAGAACTGTCAAAAATATTTCATAAATATTATTTGTGCGTATTTCTTTAGTAAATTTTGTATATAACATACAGGGCCGGGCCTAAGGGGGGTGTAGGGGGGGGAGTCACCCCCCCCCCCAAAGTCTTGGCAGTTGGTTTCAAATCCAAACACGGTTGGCAAAATCTATAGTATTTGGGTCGGTTGGTTGGGTATACCTACCCTACCAACCAACCCATCACAATAAATAAAATGAAATATAATTTTTAAACTTTACCTACATATTACAAAATTATAATTTTTAATCTATTGTAACCGTCAAGAAAATTGTATTGGTCAACCTTATTTTTATTAAAGGACATTATATTTTACACAAGCGGCATGTACAAAGTCGGAACCGCCTTGCGGCTAAGTAAAACTAGTGTCAATAAATAGGAATTAATTTTTTTTAATATGGAAAAGAAAGCTAGACCGGGCCGAGTTCTAGTGAAATGCTCATTATGTGGATCTGTGTTTAACAAGGACTAGAAAAAAATGCATGAGGAAAACATTCACGGTGGAAATTTTGTTAAAATTAAAATTGTTGCAGTTCCGGATAATCCACTTTCATTGGCAGCAAATAGAGCAAAAAAATAGAGAACGAGAATCAATCCCATCGACTTCGAAAGAGCTTGCTAATGGTAGGTAAAGACATTCTTTATCTACACTTTACAACACTTTACATACATTATAAAACTAGTGAAAATTTTTACTATTACTACTGAAGTATCGATAAAAAAATAAGTTGGTTTTTATCGTCTCCACCCCCAAAAAAGTGTGCCTCGGTACGGCCATGATAACATAATATGTCATTAGGTTATATATAAAACTTTTTAAAATCACCAAAGGAATACCACAAATAATAATTATGAAATATTTTTGACATTTCTGATATTTTTGGTAGTTATGTTCTATTTTATGTATATATATATATATATATATATATATACATATAAACGGTCATTGTGCAGCCCATTCTATATACAAGCTATACTCTGT